TGGCTGCGCGAGCGGCCGACCCGATCCGCCGAGGCTCAGAGACCCGCCCGCGCCGGTCCGCGTGGCCCGGGCCCTGGAGAGGACGGGGCAAGGGCGCTCTCCGCGCGCTCCCCTTCGCGCCGCCGGCAAGCGGCTTCAGGGAGCCTCGGCTTCCCTGGGTCCACGCCCGGCCGGCCCGAAGAGGCACATCCCCAGACTCCCTTTTTCGGGGCGGTCCTGAACGTAAGGAACAGTGTCCAGAAACTCGCGTAAGTTTCGTATCCTGTAGCCCTAAGCCTGGCGACTTGTGCAGCTGTCTCGCGTGCGTGATGTCTCAGGCCTGGAAACGCCCTTTACTCTGTGGCAAGCCTCGTGGCCGCTTCTGCCGGACCCTGATGATAACAGCCGTGAGATACCCCTGGCTTTCCTGGCACCAGGGAGTCTGGACCGCAGAACGCCACTACGGATGAATGCGGCCGAAACTCGAGTTCCATACCAGGCTCTGCTGGTCACGTGGCTAATGTCTAGGTCCTGACACTCAGGACTTACCAAAGCCAGCCGTAAAAGCCTGGAGGGTGAGCAGAACCGTTCTGGAAAGGCCTCGAGTCCGGTACTGCGCCCTGGATTTGAACTCGGAAATAAGCTTCTTTTTACCAGGTCTCTGCCCCTTTGATGTACTTACTGGTGGCCCTCCCCAGCCCTGGTGACTTTGCCTCTGGCCTCACCATGGAGCTCCTGCATAGCCTCCTCAAGAAGCCCTCCAGGGACCCTGCTGGTGGCCGAGGGTCCAAGTGGCCAGGCTAGCCAGGAGCTGAGCCGGCCCCGCCCCAGTGCTGATGCAGGACACGGCAGACACAGGACGCGGCAGATGGGGCTTGACTGTGATGGAAATTCGCATCTGCAGGAGCTGGCGGAGATCCTAGCAATGCCCAGGGCCACCACCCTCAGTGGACAGATGCTCTGCTTCAAGACTGCCCGTGTTCCTCCTGAGCTCCCCCGCTTTTTTTGAGTTGCGGTCTCACTCTGTTGTCTAGGCTGGAGTGCAGTGGCATACTCGTGGCCACTGCAGCCTTGACCTGCTGGGCTCCGGCAATCCTTCCACCTCAGCCATCAGAAGCTGGAACCACGGGCACGCGCCACCATGCCTGGCTGATTTTTGATTTATTGTCGAGATGAGGTCTCGCCATGTTGTTCAGGCGGGTCTTGAGCCCCTGGGCTCATGCAATCCTCTCACCTCCGCCTCTCCAAGTGCTGGGATGACAGGCGTGAGCTACCATGCCTGGCTCAGAGCCTCTCCTTTCTTAGCCCAGCTGGGCCTCGATGTCCATGCTCATTCTGAGGCGACATTTGGGGCTCAGCGAGGCCTGTGTGCGGGACATGTGCTGGGGAGGGGCTCCGGAATGGACACCCGGGCACAGCCAGGCTTTCCTCTTGCCACCCTCAAATGTGGGCCTCCCTCTTTGGTCTACAGAGGGTCTTTTCCACTGGGACCCCACACTGCAGGGGCCTCTGGCAGGCTGCTCACCTGGAGGGGGCACTGGTTCCTCTGGCCACGTGGTGTACACGCCACTGCCAGCTGTGGGGTCAGCCCCCCCAGGAGGCAGAGCCACGGAAGATCAGCCTCAAACACCCAGGCAGCCCCCCGCCTTGACCAGGGCTCCGGTGCCGTGCCCCTCCCACCACCCCGGACACCCCTCCGAGGGTTCAGCCTGGGCCTCGTTTCTGTCCTTGGGAACTCTCTGCCCATGAAGGGCTGGAGGAGCCTGTCTTGCAGACCAGGCCCCCAGGGGCTGCCTGTGGGGGCCCCAGGGACATGGACCTGGCCGAGGGCCTGGCCTGTCTCCACCGTGGGCTCCTGCACCACTGTCCGGACCCATGGAGGCAAGACCCAGTCAGTGCAGCCCTGATGCCCCACCCACCGCCATGCTTGCCACGGAGCCAGCCCAGGCCACGGGGAGCAGACACAGGCAGAGGCACCCAGCTCTCCACCCGGGAAGCCCCTGTTGGCCCCTCTCCGTCTGGGGACTAGACAGGGCAGGCCGGGGCCCTGCACACTGCCCTTGGCAGGTGCCAGCCCCCTCTGGACGGGGGCGGCGAGGCCTCCAGGATGTGCCCTTGGTGTCCTGTGGCCTGGGGAGCACGGGGGAGGAGCTGGGACCCCCTTGTCACCTGAGCCCCATTTTCACATATTTCACAAAACCGGAGCTTCCAAAAGTAGAATTTATTTGTGTCTAAGGAATGAATCCACAAGGGTGGCAGGAAGGACACGAACCCCTGCCAGGCACAGCTGTGGCCTCGCTGGCCTGATGCAAGAGTGGACAGGACAACTGGAGGCCAGGCTGGCCTGCAAATGGCCCAGGGGGATGGCGTGCACAGGACGGCGTGGCGAGGGAGGGCTGGCGGTGTGTCTGTGTGCATCCCGAGGGTCAGGCAGCCGGCCCCTGGTGGGTGGGACCAGGCTCCAGCTGGGGCGCCAGCCAGCTGCACTCTGGCCCGCTTGGGACACAGACCCAAAGGAAAAGAGCTGTTTTTGTCCTGGCCAGACTTAAGGCTTGCATTTCCTGATATTTGCTTCAGTTTTTTCCTCTGAAGTCAAAATTACCTGAGTAAGAGGTTTTCAGACAGTCAAGGAGCCAAAAACACAAAATCCCTGCAGACAGGTAGAACCAGGAGGCAGCGGGCTGTTGGGTCGGCCAGAGCCCGGAGGCCACCCCCAGGAGCTGGCGGGCCCCAGCCTGGCCCAGACCTGCCTGCCCTGGACCTGTCGGGACGTGCCTGAGGCCACCGGGGCCCAGGAAGGCACAGTGAGGTAGGGGCCGGCCCCGAGCCCCAACCCCACGGACCCCAGTGCGGGGAGGGGAGGGAGCTGGGAGGGCTGAGCGCAGACAGTTC